ACTAAAATCAATTGTGCAATTGACCGTCCATGCGGGAGCGACTGCGGAAGATGGGTCCACACCTGAACCTTAATAACGCCAGTGTAATTGGCGTCAAGGACCCCTGGGATGACAAAAAAACCCTGTTTCCCAGCGTGTGAGCGAGGGAGAACCAGACCCACAAATCCAGCAGGGAGAGGTCCCGTCACCTGTGTAGGTATGGCGCAAACCTCCCCCGGTCCTCCTGCATAATCAAATCGAGCCCTGCACTTCCAGCAGTCGCCGCCCTCATGGAGTCTATGGATTTTAAGGCAGAGGAACAGTATTCTGAGTGGGGAACACCCCCGTTTGGTCCTGGGTTTGGGGGGGACCCGTCGTGCGGTTTCCCGACCCGCTACGATACTGATTAGCCCAGTGATAGCCCTTCCGACACTTGGGGCACTTCTTTGAGGGTGGGCGGGCGCCATCGATGAGCGGCACTCCCGCTGAAAGTGACCCTCCTTACCACAGCGGTAACAACGCTTCCCCTCCTTCCCGCTTTTCCGCAGGGCGGCAGCCAGAACCCCAGCTTTATGTGCTTGGGTTCCGATGTTTTGGCACGCCCGCAGCATGTCCGACAGCTCTAGAATTCCAGAGGCTTGTGCCGCCTGGAGAGCACGGCAGCAATCCTCGTTCGCATTTTCAACTGCCATTTTTAACAGAATCTTCTGAGCTGCCGCAGGGTTATCCACCTGTCGGAGGATAGCCTCCTGCAATCTGTTGGTAAAATCCATAAAGGACTCTGATGCACCCTGACGGATACTGGCAAAGCTTTTGGTAGGCTTGCCTGAATCCGGGACCTTCCGGAAAGCATGCTGGGTGCAGGCAGAAATAATGGGGAAGACAGCCTGCTGGAGTTGAGACTGCATCTGAACAGTAGCAAACTGGCCCTCCCCTGCCAAGTGCTCATAAATGACACCTTGCTCTCTATACCTGGGCTTGGCGTTCCGTCATCTGCCGATACTCACTAAGCCAAATAACATACTGACTGGGCGTCAGCATCATGCGCAACAGCGCTTTCCAGTCTTCCGGGACCAGGGTGTACCCCGTACCTAGCCCTTCAAGGAGACCACATACATATGTGCTAGTGAGGCCAAACTCGCAAATCACTTTCTTTACGTCTCTGATCACCGAGTAAGGCAAACTGACCCAGTTTGCAAGCTGGTTGCCCTGGCCATCATCCTGCTAGGTCACCGGGCAAACTGAGACCAGATCAGCTAATTCCTCTGCTGTAAGATCTGGGCGAATCTTCGCTACGTGAACCATTTGTTGCACCAGCAAAAGTCCCTGAGCAGACGCAGACGACCCCCCGGGGGGCCCCGGAGCATGGGGCCCCACGGGGGGATGGTGACCACTCACCGGCTCCAGAGGGGAAGACAAAGGAGGCGGCAGTAATTGAGGCACTGGGGGCGAAGCAGGGGGAGGGATGGCTGCAGGAGCGGACGGGGGTGGCAAGATCGGCAGCCCCTCTGTTGGCGCGGGAGAGGGTCTTTCCGAGGCGACACACTGTGTCGCATCGCCAGGAGGGGGGATGGCTGCAGGAGCGGACAGGAGTGGCGAGATCACCAGCCTCTCTATTGGAGCGAGGGAGGGCCTTTCCGAGGCGACACGCTGTATCGCATCGTGAGGTGCCAGGCATGTAAAGCCTGCACGGGCGCCCGAGGCTCTTTGTGCAGTGTCTGGCCCAACCGCTCCCAGTCCGCTAGCTTAAGGGTTCCGGCTTCAGGGTACCACGGGCATTGGGCACTCACCTCCTGTAGCAGGAGAGTGAGTTCTCGAGTGGGGCAATCATGCTGAGCCTTACGCAGCAAATACTGTAGCTCATTGCGGTGTTGCACTTGCAAAGCAGAGAGGGAGCTTCCCATACTTACCACAATGAAAAATACTCACTGGGATCCGCGAAGCGGATGAGTGACGCGTCTGAAACCCTTGCCGGGCGAGGTGAGTGCTGAGGGCCCCACGTTGGGCGCCAGTTGTTGCGGTTCAAATACAAGACAGCACAAAGCTTTAAGCAAGTAAGCAGGCTGGTCTGCCAACGGGCTGCTCCTGTCAGCTTTCCACCCTCTCCTTTATTCTTTCTCTCCCCCCGCGCATTACATTCTCCAACAGATAAAAGAAATACACTGGCTTTGTTTAACATTCTTATTTACCAATTTCTATCTACCGCATTCCTTGCTCTCGGGCCTTGAGCCCAGTCCTGGGAGGCTTCCCACGGTTCATGTCATCTGGGCGAGATTCCAAGGTTCATGCCCTTGAGAGGAGCCGTGTGTGCACTGCTCCTACACAACACTCCGAGTGTGCCCTGAATGTTGCCAAGTGAATGAACCTTGTATGAATGCTACAGAGGTGGCAATATCATCTGGATTCCTCAGGACATCTCTCTGGATTATGATGAAGGCAAAATGGTGTCATGCCAGATCTTGGGATCTCAGGAGACTCTGGGGATGGCAGCCATGATGGGGAAGCTTGCTCATTCCCCTTCTTTTAATCAGCCAGCATTGCAATAGCCAGCTTCTCCCCTCCCCCAAAGTCTCTTTCTGAGGACCCCAGAGGGAATGATTGGCAGAATAGCCCGTTTTCTCATTATATTGTCCAGCAATTAGACCTAATTTCTGACACAGCAACTTTAGTTCATTGACTTTATTATAGACCAGTCAGCTTAACTTCGGTATCCCAAAAGATAATGGAGCAAATTATTAAGCAATGTCTTTGCAAACACCTAGAACATGGGTGGGCCTGAGAGCCACATCTGGGTGGGGAAATGGTATGCAGGGCCATGAATGTAGGGCTGGGGCAGGGGGTTGGAGTGCGGGGTGTGTGAGGGGATGCGGTGTGCAGGAGGGGGCTCAGGGCAGGGGGGAGGGGTGTGGGGTGTGGCAGGGGGTTGGGGTACAGGGAGGCGCAGAGTGCGGGAACGGGCTAAGGGCAGGGGGTTGGGGTGCAGGAGGGGTTCAGGGTGTGGGTGCCTGTTCAGTGCCACTTACCTTGAGAGACTCCGGGGTGGCAGCGGCGTGCAGCAGGGCTAAGGCAGGCTCCCTGCCTGCCCTGGCCCCATGCCGCTCCGCTCCCAGAAGTTTCTGACAGTGGCTCCGGGGCGGGAGGGGGAGCAGGTGGCTCCGCCGTGAGCTGCCCTCACCTCTGGGTACCACCCCCAAAGCTCCCATTGGCCACAGTTCCCCTTTCTCAGCCCATGGGAGTTGCGGGGGGGCAGTGCCTGCAGGCGAGGGCAGTGTGCAGTGCTCTCTGTCCCCCGCCGCAGGGCTCGCAATCCTGTGGGCTGGATTGGAAGCCTTGACAGGCTGGATCTGGCCCGTGGGCTTTAGTTTGCCCTCCCCGAACTAGAAGATAATAAGGTGTTAATAATAGCTAGCAGTCAGCATGGTTTTGTCAAGAACAAATAGAGTCAAACCAACCTAATAGCTTTCTCTGACAGGGGAACAAGCCTTGTGGATAGGGAGAAAGCAGCTAATTCAGTCTGCTTCTCTTTTGCACCTTTTCCCATCAACATTTATCATTATGTGATTGAAACATTTTGTAAACTTTCCCACAATTGAGTTCACAATTAGGGTAAGCTTATAGGCCAGGGGTGGGCAAACTACGGCCCGCAGGCCAGATCTGGCCCGTCAGGGCTTTGGATCTGGCCCGCGGGATTGTCACCCCTGTGGTGCCATGGGCCCCACACCGCTCCCTGAAGCAGCTGGCACCTACCCCCTCAGCTCACATTGGTCGCAGTTCCCCGTTCCCTGCCAATGGGAGCTTTGAGGGAGGTACCCATGGGCAAGGGCAGCACACAGAGCCCTCTGTCCACCCCTCCCCCAGGAGCCACAGGGATGTGGTGCCGGCCGCTTCCGGGAGCAGCGCGGGGCCAGGGCAGGCAGGGAGCCTGTCTTTGCCCGGTGCCGCTCCAGGTAAGCAGCACCAGGCCAGAGTCTGCACCCCAAACCTCTCCTGCATCCTGCACCTCAACCCCCTGCCCTAAGCCCCCTGCCGCACCCCTCCCGCACCCCAACCTCCTGCCCTGAGCCCCCTCATGCATCCCTTCCACTGAGCCCCTTTCTGCACACCACACCCCCTCCCACACTCTCTCTCACACCCCAACCCCCTGCCCCAGCCCTACATTCATGGCCCTGCATACCATTTCCCCACCCAGATACGGCTCTCGGGCCAAAAGGTTTGTCCACCCCTGTTATAGGCCTAGTTAGTTCAGCACACCCATGTTTTTCCTTCTGTATATACGAGAGTAGAATCAGAACAAGATTCAGAATGTTAGTTTGGGGATTTATTTTTTATAGCTGCCTTTGTTAGATGACACCTTTTAGTTTTTAGCTGTGTGTAAGGCCCAAGGCAGCTAGGGATCTTCTTGCATGGATACCCATAAACTGACCTTTGTTTTGGAATTAGGAAAGTGAAGGCTCATGCTATTCTCTGATCCTTTTTAAAAATAGATACTCTTTAGCTGGTACTCACCATAAACTGCGCTTGCTGAGATAATGAGACACTGTCTGCAAGCAACCCCATAACAGAGTATCCAGTAAAGATATTAATCATTAAGGTCATGCCGTTCTAAAAAGTCTCTTTCTTGTCTTTTTTTTCACCCCTCTTCTCACTGGTGTCTTTTGTCCCATTCATCTTTAACAGGCTGTATTGTTAACCATTTGGAACTTACGGTAATTTTCTCTCTTTTTTTTTTTTTTTAATCATGAAGGGCAGAGGTAATTAAATATTAGTCTTAAACATTTCTGCAGAAAGTCAAGGAACCGTCCAGTATAGTCTGGTGACTAAAACAGATACTGGACTTCTGTATTCTTTTGCCAGCTCTGATGCTAATTTTGTGTATTACCTTCATTTCCACCCTTGTAAAGTGTAAATAATACCTCCTTTGTGGAGATGATATGGGCATACTGTTTGTGAAATGCTTTGAGTCCTTGGATAAAGGCTGCTTTAGAAATGAAAAGTATCTATTTTCTTTTACCCCCATCCAGTTCAGCAAATGCCACTCCTGAATTTGAAGGCCGGGGAGGAGAAGAGCTTGCCACAGAGATAGTAAATACGCTCTACAGAATATTTAGCAGTGAGAGCACCATAGACGTGAAATCCCTTTGTATTAATCCCAGAGAACACTGCTGGGTTCTCTATGTTGATGTTTTGGTAAGTGAAGCAAAGAACAGGTAATTTAAGTTCAAGGGAGTCTTCAGGGTACTGAGCTACAGAACATTAAAAAGAATAATTCAGTAATATTTTTAAAATATGTACACAGTTTAAATATTATTGCATGTCCATGCCCCACTGTAATGCTGTGTGGGGTGGGGGAAGAGAGGAAAGAAGGGTGGCTAACATAACCACTCACACCATATATCTCTTGACACTGTATTATTGCTGGTGGATCCTTGGAACAGAACAAAAGCTTTATATCGAAGTGATGGGGCTTCTCCCTCCTCCCCCCTAGAAGGTTTAGATTTTATTATTGAAGTGTGTGTAGAGAGCATGAATACTTGATCTCTTTCTAGAATGGAAGCTAAATTTTGTCCATGTTCTGAAGTTAACCTAATGAGTTGCTAAATCAAAATAATGTGCTTAAAGTTTTCAGAGGGAGAGACAGCAAGACTTGAATACAGGTCTGGGAGCCAGGAACTCCTGAGCTCTATTCTTAACTCTGACACTTATTTGTCTAAGACACAGAGTCAGTATTTCCCTATTTTGTAAAATGGGTAATAACTGATAACTTCTTCCAACAGATGGATTAGTTCATGTTTCTAAAGTGCTTTGAAGATGTAAAGCTCAGTGATAAGTACAGTTGCCAAAGTCAAATTTAGGTCTGTGTTAACAAACAAGAACATTCAGATGCAGACATATCTAAATAAATGATGTATGAAAATACAAATTCATTGTTCTTTTTTTTAAAAAAAAGGCATTAGTCTAATTATATAGGGATGTGCCTACTGTGACTAACTGTACAGAACACTCAGATGTGTACTGATGCAGTTGGTTACAGCCAGCTTATCAGAACCTAAAATAATTTAATTGAAAATGAGGGGCTGTTTTTGAAGAGTAGCACTGGGAACTTCAATTATTTGGTAAACGTGAACAAAGCTACAGATTATTAGACAATATGCATCAGTAAATCACTTTTAAAATCTCATGTGTCTCTTACTGCACAGTATTTCAAACTTCTTGTTTGAATTGTTCATGATACTGCCAAGTTTACCTTAGCAGTAATTCTGTAAACCTCCATGGGTGAGCAGATAATGTTAATGATGGGCATTTTGATTCTTTTTTCTTAGTCAAATTTAAATTGATTCCCACACTTACTTCTGTATAGCTTTAGTTATCTTAGATTGTTAAATATATCAGTATCTCAAAGCTCCTTATGTTATATATCATGTTGATTCACATACTTTCTTACATGGTCAGGTTTATGCTTTTCGCCCAACTGAAAATTTTATTAGTAAGTCTAATGGAAATGTGTTCAGGACTAGGATTTGTGCTGCATAGAGTGCAAAGGTAGAACTCAGATGATAAGATTTATTGTATTTAAATCTATTGTTTCTTTTGGGGCTGGGCGGTGTGTACCATTGAAGAACTACTTACTCCTGGGGAATTCTGCACCACTGTGCACTTGCAGAGTTCATGTCCTCCGCAGATTTCTTTGCTTCCCTGTGGAAAAATGACTTTCTGATGGGGAAGCAAAGGGAAGCCACAAGAACAGTCATACGCCCCTGGGCACATCGTTTTGGGCGCCTGTAGCAGCCAGCAGAGAGGTAAATCACTGCAGGAAGCTGGGGGCGAGTGGTGAGGCTGGGGACGCCCCAGATGGTGTCTCCTACCCTGCGCCAGGCTCAGCTGCTAGTCCCAAGTGGGCTGGAGCGGAGAGGACGGGACTTCTTTTCCTTCCCTTGCAAGGAGCAGCCAGGTCTGGGTCAGATCCACTCCCAGAAAACTCCCCTGGGTGCAGGAAGCTCCATCCCCTCAGACTTTGTGCCCCCATCGCTCCTCAGCCATGGAGGAGGGGACACTGTATGGGGAACTGTTACCCTGTCTGCTCAACCCCCATGCAACTGGGCCCCCCCCCCCACCACCATACCCTTACCCGCCCTGCACCCAGAACCTCCCACCCCACCAAGCCTCACCTCCTGCACCTGGAGCCTCCCACACCCTAACCACAACCCCTCTGCATCTGGATCTGCTCCCACCCCACCCCCAGCTGAGGCCCATGCACCCAAACCCCCACCCCAACTAGTCCCACTCTCCTGCACTTGGACCACCCCAACAAGCCCCCCCACCCAGACCTCCACCCCACTGAGCCCCAACCAGCTACACCTGGACCCCCCTACAGAGTGTCTTTGCCCCTGTGCATCCGGATTCTCCCTCCCCACACTAAGCCACCCACACCCAGATTGCCCCACACAGAACCCTCTCACCCTGCACCTGGATCCCCCCCCCCCAACTAAGCCCTTCCACACTTGGATCCTGCCAGGCCGAGCCTGCCTGCCCACACCTGGTGTACCTGCATGGAGGGGCAGGGCTCCATCATGTTTCTGGGGCAGGCCCAGCCCTTGCACTGTGTCAGGATTGGATGCAGCCTCAACACTGAGTCCGTATCTGGGGAGGGACTGCAGGATCTCCCACCTCTGCAGCCAGTGGACTGTGCTCCCCACTGCCATGCTGGAGCCTCCACATTTATTTATTGTCCAAATTTGCAGAATTTTAAAATATTGTGCATAGAATTTTTATTTTTTTGTGTGCAGAATACCCTCAGGAGTGACTACTGGTATTGCTACAACAAGCATCATTAATGTACGGATCTTTTCAAATCTCAGTGTTTAAATTGACCAAGATATTTGTGCTATTTCCTATTATAACTATAGGGAATACCATAAGGTAGAGTAACGATGTTGCAATGCAGTAAGGGTCTAATATTTATAGGTATTTCTGCCACACTCTCTGTGAGAGTGCTCACTGTACTACATTTTAACGTTATACTAATGGCACATTACGGACATCTGTAATGTCCACACTAATATCAAATGGACTTTTCTGTTTTTGAAAGTGTAATGATGAGCAAATTAATGAGAGAACACTTTTTACTGCATTTTCCACTAGATGCATAAGAATAGCTCCTTTTCATGTTAGTGGGAGTTGCACAGTAAGTTGAGGGGAGAATAAACCTCATTAAGTTTCTGTCAGAAGTTTTTAAAAAACCTGCATTCTTGGATATGCAATAGAGTGCATAGAATATATTTGTTACTAAAATAGCTTGTTCTGAAAGATATCTGATTTCAGTGGGTTCTTGCGCCATTTCTTATTGACATCTATATAACCATGCACAATTCCACAGAAGTATCTGAGTTTCAGCTCTTATTTGAGGGTAAGGTTTGACCAGTATATGCAACTTCAGGAGAAAAGGGAGAAGCGATTTCTTTAACAGATGGTGTTGATGTGAAGTCACTCATCTAAAAAGAAAGATACTTTCTTTGTTAATGGCCTGTATTTTATCTCCAGGATAGTCGAGACTTGTCTTAATTGGTTGCACGGTCACACTGTTAACGTTCAGTAGGCTGAACCAAAAGGAGTTAATTAGACTACAAATTTGCATGCAGAACCCACCCAGGGGCTCTCAGCTAATGCTCTGGTTGTATGATAGTGGTCTCAAGAAATGATCATTCTATTTTTTTTAGATGCAAAAAATTCCATTACCCCTAGAGCAGCACAGTGAGTACAGAAACACCCTAAGCCATGGATCTGCAGTCTTTTCACACCTACAGTTTCCTTTTGTTGCTGATGCTAAAGACTGGCTTTTAGGAGGCTTTTGTCATGATTGCCACATTTATAGTCCTCTTCACACAAATTGCCCCAGCAATCTGTCGTACTGGATGGGGAGAATGAGCGTGCGGTTTTTCCACCTCCTTAACAGCACAGCATACACATGGGAAGACTACATTAGGCTCTAGTAAAATCTTAGCCATTTCCTGTTGAGCATCTGTAGAAGGGGTTTTTCTGTCACTACTGACTTGGAGACTTTTCCTCAAGGAGAATTAGGCTGGGCCAGGTTTAGCATTTTATTTAACCACTCTTGAGTTTATTGTGGTTTGCAGAGGAATGGGTAGCTTTTTTTTCTTCCCACAACTCAACTGAACAGATTGAACAAACAAACATTCGCCATGTAGGAATGTTCGTTTAAAAGATACTGTTTTGAAAAAGTTGTACCATGGGTAGCACAATGGGTCCCTGGCCTGTAGGAGCTACTGTATTACAAATAATAAAAGTTTATATTGGAGGTCTGAACATAACCTTAATTACAGTACAGACACATCTTGTTTTTGTTTTAATTATTATAGAGTGGTTTTATTGCATTTATCCAGTAAAATCCAATAACTACTGAAAATGGCAGGCTAATATCTCTGTATCCAGCATTTGTTGCATAGCAGTAATTTGGTCACCCTGTGTCTTTTAGCTTTTGCTTTCACCTTTTGTCAGTTTCACCTTTCAGTCATCAGTCTGTCTTGGTACAAGTAATCAGTCTGAAATGTAACCCTTAGTTAATTTAGAGTTCATTTTCTCGTAGGCTTTTTAGTTTTCTATGCTGATTACATTGGCCATATTTCAGAACTGTACACTGAAACTTAATCCACTATCTTCACATGAGCCAAGTAGATTGGTGCATCCATGCATCTCCTGTTGAGATAGGGGCAAGTGCTTTCGTTGGGTAGGTTTTTAAAAGAAGAAGAATTACATGGATTAAGAATGAATGCCATAACTCTCTTATTCTGAGTTTTTATTTTTAAATATTGCCATAACTACAGCTGGCTGAAATTTCCTGAATTTCACATTTGACAAAAAATTATTTTCAACAACTTATACCCCTTCAATTTTCACTGAAAGTTTTAGAGTTTTTCAAGTAGCTGTAGTGGTAACGAATGCTCTTCTAAAAATAATCTTTACCGCTGCATTTTTGTGATCACTATGCTGTGCACTGTGCTGCCTATATTTGATGGTTTTAAAATTGAAGTTGAAAGCATTCACTTTAAAGTGCAATTTTGGAAAGAAACTGATCTAGTATAGTTGGCTGTGACTTCATAGGTAATGTTGAGTATATTTTAAATATAGAAAGTTTTTTAGTGTTTCAGTGTCACAACAATTTAGGGAATATTTTGATTTTCTTATAATAGTTTATGGGTTTTGTGTTTTTACCTCAGTTATTGGAATGTGGTGGCAACCTCTTCGATGCAATCTCTATTGCAGTGAAGGCAGCTCTCTTTAATACAAGGTAAGGCACAGTTCTTAATTTTCTTGGGAGGATAAATACTTTCTGAGCACTTTTTTAAAGCTTAAACATTAAAACAAAAATTAAGGGATTGGCTGTCTAGGTCAACTTGCATCCAGATACAAAACTGAACATTTACATCCAGCTGAAATGAATTAGTGATTTCGGTCCAGTTTCTGTTGGGCAAGCGTCCTCCTTCATGACAAGGACGCTTATTAGCAAAGCGTTGAAAGATTGAATGAGCGTGGTAACCCTTGTCACCCCTTTAAACATGGCCAACTTCAGAAAAAGCTTATTTTTTGGCGGCAGTGTATAATTATAAAGACCTTAATGTCCTAATTTCCAGACAGGCTGAAGCCCATGGAGGCTGCAGGTGCTTGGCACCTCTGAAAATCACTTCCTCTGTCAATAGGGCTGTCAGACTGTCACCAGCTCTAAATTCCTGTATAAAAAAAATGTTGTTTTTTCTTTTGCATTAAACAACATGAATCCTGGTTCATAGTTTCTTCACAGAACTGTTGACTGAGAGAAGGAAAGTGTCGGTGAGCGCCAGAGCTCAGCAAACCTTTGCGCTAGTGCAATGTCATTAACAAAACCATCAATTTTGCTTTGCTACCTACTCTGCGTGATGGAAGGCAGGGAGTCTGGAGCAGAGGCACTTTCCATGCCATTTCTTCATCTGCCTGCTAGCGATAGCTAAATTTGGCAACATGGATTCACACTTACAGGAGTAAGTTAGCCAATACTTCAGCTGAATGGGTAGGTTCTACGTACAACCAGATGAAGAAAGTCCCCAATAAGCAAATGTTACATTTCTAGTTTGTCAATAAACCTTTGCAGCAAATTCTTTCCAACAAGAGTGTGATGAGTGATCTTGTGAACAAAAGTTGCCAAATGTTGCATAGTGAGACTCCAGAATAGCTTTCCAAAAGTTAAAGTTTGTTGCAAGCGCAAGAGGTCTGAAGGTGATCTCAAAGTGTTCTACAGCAGTGTAGTGAAACTCCATTGGCTTCAGTAGTTACTCCTGAGTTATGCCAGAGTGCAATCCGATTGCAGCTCTATGGTTGAAAAGCATCATACAAGGAAAAAAGCATGGTTTTGAAGACGTATTTCAGGTTGTTAAAATCTGTTTGTTCAGACATGAAGAAAGTCTCTTGAGATTGAGAGAGACAAGATGGGTGAGGTAATATCTTTTATTGGGCCAACTTCTATTGGCGAGAGAGACCAGCTTTCAAGCTTACACAGAGCTCTTCTTTAGATCTGGGGAGCATATTCAGAGTGTCACAGCTAAATATAAGGTGGAACAGGTTGTTTAGCATAAGTAGTTACCTTGATTAGTCCCTTGAAATGTGTTAAGGTGGCCCGTTAACACCCCTCTAGTCCTGGTGTGGGAGAGAGGTTGAGACAATAACTCTGCTATACTTCATTCCTGTTGGTATTTTACTGAACGGTCTCCTGTTTTAATCATCTCCATGGTGGCTTTTTTAAAGGAGTAAAGTGTTCCTGTAATGTGGAATCCATTAAAAGTTATATTCTTACACATTGGGAAGCTGCCAAAGACTTGCGAACTTGCTAAGGGTGAAAAAATGTTGCAAAAACGATTTTATGGGAAAGCTGCCTGGATGCTGTTAGTCTAAATTCTAAGTTTAGTTTGTAACAGCTGCTGTTCCATGGTTCTTTTTTAGATCACTTGTTTGTGCTTTATGTACAAGATATCTGGGCTTTTTGAAATGTAGTTTAAACAGAAGTCCTATTTTGAAGGATACTGTATATAAAGAAAATATAAAAACTAAAACAGAACAGCACTGTGTTAGGAAAAACTTATTGCAAGCTAACACTGGAGGACATGATGCGTGCCGTGCTTGCTTTAATAGTTCTTTCAAAAACAGTGCCTTTTAAACTAGATATCTTTCATCTAGCATTTGAGTTAGCTTCATTGCACTTATGAGAGTGAGAGACTAATGGCTTGAGTTTGGACTAGTGTGGGCAAACACTGTCTAAGCTTCTCCAAAGCCACTGCCAGTACCTTCTTTCAGTTTTGACCTACAAGATTCTTGCTTATTTCACTTTAGCACAACTGGCATTCTCTGCTCAAGTATGAACTGGGAAGAGCTATTGTTGTGAGGAACGTGAAGAAACCACCAAACTCACTTTTATTTGTGAACTAAGAACTTGAGCTCTGTCCTTCAGAGGTGAAAGGCACTAATCCACTATGCAATCTAGTCATTCTTTCCTTCCCCTTTTCTTAGTTCCAGATATTTACTTCTTTACAGACTACTTTGAAGTTTCCTACCACAGCTACTAGCCCACCAGAAAAATATCACTTCAATCATGTTAGTCCATTTAAAAACTAACTTCAGTATTTTTATCAATGCCAGACAATTCAAATCTAACTGTCCTGAACTTGTCTCTTATAGCTCTATTACTTTTCCTTCATAGTAATTTCGTGACCAAGTTTCCATTATAAACCTGTTTTCAAAGGTGTTTATATCAGCTTTAAAAAGACCAGCTCTTGCTTGAAACCTGGAATCCAAATTAGTGTGTTCTGGCTGCCATGTTTTTGAAGCATTTAGTTCTCAAATGCCTATCTGAGCCTTGTAGAGCAATAATTTTATCCTTAGAACCAAGCTTGTATAGCTTCCATCATAGCTATGGGCAATCCTTTCTTTAGGCTTCAAGGAATCCAAGATGGTGACCTAATATGATGGCATATTTAATTAATAAATATTGCATTGTTTAGACAGCTTTAAATGACTCACCGAATACTAACTGAATAGTATTCCTTCAGTTCTAGTACTAAGTAGGTATCTAAAGGCACTTAGGGCACATTCAGCTGTAGTAGAAATCTGTATTTTAGTGGAGCTGTATATATGCCAGGGCTGAATTTGCCCCATTGTATATCCAGTGTTTTGTTTTGGAACACAAACCTCTGTATGTTGGGGCCTGGAACAACATTCCTCAAGTTATTGCATAAATGTGCAAATACAGTGCTGTGGTTTAGCATATTAAATTATTATGGCATATGTATAATTGTAACTCTGGCAAAAGCTAGATAGATTGTGACTTTAGGCACTTGTAACTGAAAATAGTCACTATATCAACATTAGATGTCACTCTGCCCCTTACTCAATAACAGGGTAGTGATGGACCCCCCCCCCCTCGTGGGGCATCAGTAGAGACCACTTTCCGATTATAAAGCTAGTTTTGCAGGTGGCAGTTGTAGACCTCCTGCACTGAATTGAGAGCATTGCTGGTGTGCAACTGGGTACTCGTGCTGGCTTTGCATTTGCTGCACTGATGAACCTTCTGCAGGTTTTAACACTATTGTGGGACCTCAACAAATAAGTACAGTGCACAAAAATAGAATGATTAGATTTACAATTTGCTTAGTCTGGGTTCTGGAGAGAAGGCTTTTCACAAGAGATGGGGAATCTGATGCTTTCCAGGAATGCCCTTGATCCTGCAAAAATCTATTTCTACTTCTTGCTTATTTACCAAGGTGGCTGTAATCACCTTCCCACTTCTTTCATGCTACTAATATTTTTCTCTGTCTGCCCAGCTCATGCTGTCCCCTCTTGTCTTAGTAGATGTTTGTTCTTGTCCATGACTTCATCTCCTCTTGCCTTGAGTACTGCAACTCCTTCCTCTAGGGACTTTCCAAATACTAGCTCTTGCAACTGCAGCATATGGAGATGCATTACTACTTGCTGCCTTCTGTGTACATTGCTTTCCACTTCCTATGCAATTCAGAAAAGGAGTTAAAGATTGCTTTCTATGGGCTTGATTTTAGCCTTCTTTTAGCCTCTCTGCTTGTCTCGCACACTGCTCTGATTCTGTTCCTCCAAACAACCTTGTCGCTGTTGGCTCAAGAGCCTTCTCCTTTATAACATGTCATCTTGTATCGGCCTATGTGTAACCAGCTAACTGTCTTGCCCTCTCAGTTGTAAATAAAAGTGTTGTTAATTTTCAGCTGAAAACATCTTATATAAAACTACAAAGTGCTTTAGATGCAGTTATGTAAGACTATACAAAATAGATGCATTCTGTTTATTTTAAAAGATTTTTGTTTTGGTTGGTCAGTATTATGCAGGGAATATGCCTTTTCTCTCTGCAGATGTCTAAGCTGTTACGAAGCACTTGCCATTAGGACTCGATATGAACTGCAACTAAAATAGTTTCCAGGGATTAAAAAAACAAAAGAAAACACTTTGCTCCTGTAAGGAAAAAATGTTCATTAAAGCTGTCCAGATATTTTACTTTAAAAGATGTTACAGAATGCATAGAATAAGTCTCTCGAGTCTAATTTGTAACACACACAACACTGTGCTGTAAAAGTATTAATATAAACAAATATTGCTGTTAGATGTCATCCAGTTACCAAAGCTAATTTTTCAGAGATGCACTGAGGTGTGTTATATCTTCAAGGAAAGTGCACAGACATGGGAGATCTGTTTTCTTTTTACTGGCCTACAAAGTAAGAGCTTTCATGCTATATTCATCCCTGAGGGGAAGTAGCCTTCTTACACCAGTGGACTCCATCAGAATTGCACCAGGGCCGAACATGGCCTTCACATTATGGGCAGGAAAAATAAAGCAAGTGATTATTTGGAAATTGTTCCAACTGATCTTTTATTCATTACCATAAGAATGTTATGTTCATCTTTTTTTAAATTTCCATGGAATTTATACATACTGTGCATATAATATGGCCAACTATGTCCTATAAGTCTGACAAATTTTAAAATATAGAGACTTATCCTTCACATTCACATTTTAAGTAATATGTGAAATTGAAGATCTCAGGCATTGTTGAACAAAGGGTTTGGGAAAAGTATATATAATTCTTCTTTGTTAAAGTGTAATATCTGTTCTGGATGAAGATGTCTAAAGAATTCATTTCTTTCTCTTGATTAGACTCCTCCTAAGTGGGGAATGTGTCCTAAAACATTCACCTATACAAGGTTATCCCATCCTATATACTTCTCCGAACTTGTGCCTCTTGATTTTCATTGCTGTGGCTGATAGGAATAATGGAATTGATCAAGAATGTGAGGGGGTAATTTCCGTTTGGCAGATGTCTAGCAAAGGGACTGAAAAATTGACTGCATGCTGCTTGACACTAGTTGAAGGCCTAAACCTGCGAGCCAGAGGTAGACGTGAAATTTGAAGGTTGAGAGTCAAACTAGCACCTTTGTGAGAGGTCCAGCCCCCTGACATCCCAGTTTTTATGGAGGATGCTGGCATTTCTACTGAAGCTTCTCTTGGGACCCTGCTTGATGGCTCTGTTTTTCATATCTACCTCTACTAGCTGCCAGGAGGCCCTACTGTAGAAGGGGGAGAATCTCTCAACTGGTGAGGAAAGCATTCTGCCACTCTAGCCTTCCCCCAGTAGTTAGTCTCCTTCCTCCTTGAATAACATTAGTGCTTATGTCTGCTTCTGGTCATAGCTTTTCCCAGCATTAGCAGCAACACAAAATTGGCACGAGTTTCACTGCCAGCCACAGGATTATGGATTGTAGCACTGAAACAAGATCAGAGCTTTGTTAGCTTAACTCTGTTCCTGCTTGTTTAAACTATACGCAGAAGCAGCAGAACCCGAGAAGTTGCCATCCGCAGACCCTAGATGACAACAGTGCATCACTTGACAGTTGCTTCATAGCATAGTTGTGTAACTGTAACAACAAGAAGCTTTAGTATTTAAATTAATCTAAATTCTGAAGAAATGGATTTTTGTAAGAACTCATTCTTGCCATGTAAGCACTGGTTTCTCCCCTGAGCCCTGACAATGTATAGCTGATCACTTACTTGCTGGTATGTTTAAACAAAAAAAGCATTTTATCATTAACTGATGTGACTATGGAGATCAGAAGCATTCTTTAGAATTAAGGCTAAAATCCTTCAGTACTAAAAACGGGCATGTTTATTTTTGGTGTTTTTTAGTAGACTTTCATCTGCATTCTCTTTCTTTAAAAAGAAGCATGGAAAAGTTATCTTTACAATGCTTAACAGCTTTATTTTCTCTAGGAATGGGGCAGGCCTACGTAACAGATTGGAGAGTGGTAAAGTAATATCCAGTAAGTTTTGCATATGCTTCTGTTTCAATAGGATACCCAAAGTGCGTGTTTTGGAGGATGAAGAAGGATCAAAAGAGATTGAGCTCTCTGATGACCCTTATGACTGTATTCGACTTAATGTGGATAATGTACCCTGTATCATCACATTAAGCAAAGTAAGCCTGTAGAAGTTTATAAATTATTTAGCTTGTGACTCTTCTATAGACTTTGGCTACAGGAATTGACCTGCCACTATGAGTTGGGAGAAACCATCTTTTCTTTGATGACCAGAGCCATGAGATACCCCCATACTAAAAACAAGTTCTTAGCTTCCATCCTTGAATTTATTTTTTGACTTGGGAGGCGGGAAAGGAAATCTTTGTGGAAAGAGTGTTCCATCTCCCTCTCTAGTTGTGTGTCTTGGTGGAGTGGAAATCTGCAGTAGCTAATCCTGCTGTATTCTTGGCCTGGAACAATTACCTATCCATCCATCAGCTGCTTGCTCATAGTGAAGTGGACACTAGCATTGGTCTCTCCAATATGCTAACATAATATCTGTTAGCCATTTAGAATGTTGCAAACCTATTTGGTGAGCCACTGAAGAAACAGAAACTTTGTTGATGGAGCTCACCTCGTGCCCACCAACACCCTGTGAGACAGGTAAGCGTTATTGCTAGGGCCCTACCAAATTTACCGTCCATTTTGGTCAATTTCACAGTCATAGGATTTTTAACAGAGTAAATTTCATGATTTCAGCTACTTGAATCTGAAGTTTCACAGTGTTGTGCCTCTAGGGGTCCTGACCCAAAAAGGAGTTGTGGGAGGGTTGTAAGGTTATTGTGGGGGGGGTTGCGGTACTGCTACCCTTACTTCTGCGCTGCTGCCGGCAGCGGCCCTGCCTTCAGAGCTGGCCAGCTGCAGCTTCTGGTCGGGAGCCCAGCTTTGAAGGCAGAGCGGGGCCCTCAATCAGCAGCCACCACTCTCCAGCCACCCAGCTCAGAAGGCAGGAGAGCAGAATCAAGGGTGGACTTGGTCTGGTATTGCCACCCTTCCTTCTGCGCTGCTGCTGGTGGCGGTGCTCCTTCATAGCTGGGCACCTGGCCAACAGCCCCTGCTTTCTGGCCACCCAGCTGTGAAGGCAGCGCAGACGTAAGCATGGCAATACCACGATCCCCCTAAAATAACCTTTCAACCCCCCTGCAACTCCCTTTTGGGTCAGGACCCCCAGTTTGAGAATCGCTGGTCTCCCAGTGAACTCTGTATAATATAGGGTAAAAGCACACCACACCAGATTTCACGGTGGGAGATCAGATTTCACGGTCTGTGACGCATTTTTCATGGCTGTGAATTTGGTAGGGCCCTAATTATTGCCATCATTCCTCAAATAGAGGGACTAAGGCACAGAGAAGCTAAGTGACCTACACACAGCAGGGACTCAGAGCAGGAAGCAGAACTCCTTGTTCATAGCTGTCAAGTCTACTCTCCCTCTCAGTATCTCTATTTTCTTAAATTCTGTAAAGTCAGTTGCATTCTGTTTGTGTGTTGGATATCCCACTTGCATCACTTTGTTTTCTAACAGTGAATTATCTGCCCATCTCTTCAACCTTTCCAGCCACACAGCAATTGCCATAGTGTCAACTGTCCTTCTTGGCTTGGTCATGAGACAGCTTGCATGCTGTCATGCAAATTATTCTGTTTTCTAAGTGTTACATAAATAATAATAAAAGCTGTCACTGAGGCAGAGACTGAATCTCGCCTCTCCTGAGCCTCAGGCATGGGTAACTTTTGTGGATAAAATTCCACAGTTGGGGTGAAAAGTTGATCCTTTTCAAAAAATGTGTATAAAATTTTAAAGGAGCTTCTCACTATTGCCAGGTGTTTGGAATGTTAAACTAAGTTCCATGTGGATGAATTAAGAGTCAGAATGTAGGTAAAGTGGCCAAAGGTGCATATTTATGCTACGTACATAGTATGTTTATAAGCACACACACACAGTAACGTTGCACCATCAGCAGTTACAATGCCCTATATCAAGCGGCTATATTTAATGACTGACACATCTGCAGTGACTTAGGACATGAGCAAAACCGATGACCAGACAATATTTTTATTTCTTAGGATTGTAGCATACAGTTAAACTGACAGGTTAGTGGTTTGGTGGCGTTACCTCCAATGCTCTTAATTCCATCACCCAGTAAGGAGCTTTTTCATAATTAGCTGGACACACAGTTTTTAAAAATCCAAAAGTAAAATATGTCCTTGGTTCTGCAGATTGGTTGTCGGCATGTGGTTGATGCTACCCTTCAGGAAGAAGCTTGCTCTTTGGCCAGCCTGCTCCTTTCTGTGACCAGCAGAGGTACCTTCACATGTATGAAGAAATTGGGGAACGGTAGTCTTGATCCAGAGAGTATCTTTGAGATGATGGAGGTAAGAAGTGCTGACTCGCAACTTCTGCTCACAAAATGGAGAAATGGATCTTGCGCATATGAAAAATTGCAGTGTGGGCATAATTAAAGGGATACTGAAAACTTACTTAGGTGCAAAAAGTGACTTGTGGAAGGTCCCAGACAGCTTCCAAGGAATCTGAAATACCTATGGGAATGAATTTCGCTTATGCAGACCGTTTGCAATGTCCCCTCTGACACTGCGATAATCTGGGTTTTCTTTTATATAGTAGTGCCATACTAGCAAAACTTCTTCAAAGTTAAGGTGACTAACATTATTTACAAATTCCTTCTGAGCTTAAAGTCTATGATTCATAAAGAACACGTTTCAAGTCTGATAATTTCTCTTTGAAACTCAAAGGAAAACAAAACTTCTTTAACATACAGCAGTTACCACAGAACAGAACTGGAACTTGTGAACTGGTACTTCACATATTCTTTAATTTTCATAGCTTGTTTTTCATGTTTTTAAATTAACTTATTTAGCTAGTAATCGTTACAATCATAGGACTTTACTTTTCACATTTTGTTTTAATATCTTTGTATCTGTCCCTTTTACTGATGTGATCTTCTTCCCTTTCTATAAAAATATTTATAAAGAAATACTGTGGTAGCTGGCTGCAGTTCAAGTTGACTGGGGAATTTCACTTTAAATCCTTCTTTAGGCCTCTCTCAGAAGCTTCCCTTTGGTATGAAATTTCTCATGCCCAGACTTTCTCATGCCCAGTATATACAAATGAAATTTCTCATGCCCAGTATATACAAATGAAATTTGTACACAAGCTTTGTGTATTTCCTTTGCACTTTAATTCAAAATTGGCTTTGTTTCTGAAAACCTTCACATTTGGCATAAACATGGCCCTAGTGAGAAATAGAGCTAGGTCAGAAATGGTTTCCCCATCGTGTGAAAATTTGAGATTTCAAAAACCTTTCCCCTTTTGCATTGGGATGAAACATACCTTTTTAGAAGCATTGATGAGAAAGCAGAGGGACGCCAGCTCCAGAATTAATAACCTGGGTTTTCCACATCGAGGCGAGTGCTTTAACCACAAGGCTTTTAACTATTCTTGGGATTCTCTCTCCCAGTTACATGCTGGACCTGAAACTATTGTCAAAACTAGTATGTTCCTGCAAAACGTTTATTTTGACAAATAGGCATTTTCCAGCGAAACAATGTTTTTGTCAAATTCCTCACCAGCTGTAGTGAGGAATGCAGAAATTGGAGCCAGGTGTGAAAGCAACTGGTTAAAGTGGAAATGACATGCTAAGCACGCATGACACTTCACTTTCTCTTGATGTAATTTAAAGCCTGGGTGTTAATCTTGGCTCTACCATTGAGCTCCTGTTTGCTCTGGAAAAGGTAATTTCACCTCTGTGCCTTAGTGTACCCATTTGTAAAACGAAAATAGTAATTTCTAGCCTGCCTCACAGGTGTGCTCAAGGGATCTGTGTTGGTCCAGAGCTTTGAACATTTAAAGGCGTATGCTCCAAGGGTCAGATACTATACTTCACAGGTATTTAGCACCTAATGATGGAGCCTAATGGGATTTTCAGAAACACATAAGCAGGTGAAGCACCTAAGTCCCATTGGAAAAAAGGCAATTAGGCACCTAACTTACTTAGAATCATGGAATATCAGGCTTGGAAGGGACCTCAGGAGGTCATCTAGTCCAAGCCCCTGCTCAAAGCAGGACCAATCCCCAATTTTTGGCCCAGATCCCTAAATGGCCACCTCAAGGATTGAACTCACAACCCTGGGTTTAGCAGGCCAGTGAAGCTCCTAAATGTTACTGTACAAACAAGTATTGACTCCTGTGACGACCTAAGAGTTAAAACTTAACTCAGTAGCCCACTATGTTATGTTGCCCCTCACTGTTTTAAAGAAATCTCTCCTCCTTAAGTGGTGGTGCATTTCACTGAAATAAACAAGACAAGGCTTTGGGGGGAAGCAAAGAATTCTTTCTTTGGCTGGGGGTCTGACTGGTCCTGTTCCCAACACAGCAGCCTGTTTGGGGAACGGATGGAACGAACAAAGCCAAAAGCACAGGGTCTGTGAAATGGAACAGTTTCAGAACTGTTGCTTGACACACTTATATCCTCCAGTGGATTGACTCCAGCCCAGAAAACATTCAGCCTTATCAGCCTTGGGGTGAACAGACATTCCAACCAGCACATCGCTTTTAGGAAAACAGCATGACTGCTCAGCTTTGGAAAGGTGCCAAAGCTACACCTCTTACTGGATTAAAGTCCTCTATGAAGGAGTCCGGCAGAAATAACTGAGATGACAGTGGGCGAAAGGCAGGACCTGTGCACCAAGCAAGGGTAAAGGAGCCTTGTGTTGGAGATAGCTGGGCTAGACATCTGGTGTGGGAGTGGAGCAGAATACTTCATCCTACCCCCTGGGGCTGCAGCGTTACCCCAGCCCATTGATTGTAACAACTTCTGCACCTTCCCTACATGAGGAGTTTTGGTCAGTGGATCCACATAGTCCTATACCACCCCATCTCTCCCAGGCTTGCCCCAAATGCTCTTCCTGAGGCTACAGAACATTACTGAACGAGAAGGCGCTGGGGGAGTTGTAGAATCCTTCTCAATAGCCTGGCTCCTTGATCAGAGCATCTGCTTCATTTTATGGTTTCATGCCCCCATGTAGAGCTTGGTCTTGCCCCAATTAAATGGTAGGTAGTTTTATGGGTCTCTAGTTATAAAATTGAGGAGCAGCTTTCTTCAGACAACTTGGCCATAGTTTCTATTCAATACCCACAGCTTGAGCTGCCCATTGACCTTTTAAGGACAGTGAGCTGGGTTCCTCTCTGCTCAGGAAATCTTATGGTTCCATGATCCTGTGCCAGCCAGGCCTAGGGGAAGTTCTGATCTACACCACTGCCATAAGATACCTAAGAGATCTTTGCCAGCAGAGGGTGGGTGCAGGCTCTCCTCCCATGTGTGTTTTCTTTCAATATGTCTCTATACTAGAGATATTGGGGAGGAGGCTGGTGCAGGAGTTGCTTCTCTGTGTTTATGCCATTGGAGAGTTCCCTGCTGCAAAGAAAATTTTCTCCTGGCCATTTACAGACCAAATCTAGCCCCTGTGAGGCTCCTGCCTGGGGCAAGCTCATACTAGGGAATCTGGCCCACTGAGTTTTTGATGAATTGTCACACTTGCCCCTGGTTTGAACAATTTTGCTTTGGAGGGTTTTTTCCAAAACTTTTGATCAAGTTAAAAGTCCCCCACATGCTGTTTGTCTTAGTTCAGCTATGCCCTTTACAACAGCTGGTGTATATTACTCATTAAGGGAAAAAATAGTTGACAGAAGGGGAAGTGTTCCACATAAATTCTCTTCCTGTTAGTTGGATGCCTCAGCTTTGTCTTGCCTTCTTTGCATTACAGACAGGAAAACGGGTAGGCAAAACATTGCACGCTTCCCTACAGAAGATCTTAGACAAAGAAGAGAGTCTGGGGACAACACGACAGAAGGTTGGATTCCTAGGATGATGAGTTTCATCAATGCAGATATAAATTTTCAAGTTATTTTTCAAAGCATGATCTTGTCAATTTGTATGTGAAATAAAGGATATTTTTGGTTTTAATGTTGTCATGTGTCCTAACCACGTTGAAGAGGTTTTTAAAATGCAGTTAGCAAAGCCTAAGGAAACTTAACTAAGTCTTAACATGAAAATAAATTAATTTGAAATGCTTCAGACTGACTTCTGAATTGTACCCAGGAATTGCACTAATCTAACAGTCAATACAGCTACCTTGTGTGGACACTTCTAAATTAGTTTGTGTGGCCAAAAAAAAATTTCCATCTCTACAAAACAAGAGCAGTTGCACACTGGAAGTCAGCATTTGGCTGTAGAAGTTGCTTTATTCACTATGCAGATAACACAAATTGAAGTAATAGGGGATTATCTAATCAAAGAACGTTTGATTTCATGAGCTAGTTTGAACTGGATATCTAGCTCTGTGCTTATGAACAATAGCTGAAACGTAAATTCCTAATTTGCATTTAAGACCAAAGTTAGTTTAACCTTTAGTGTCCTATTTCCCCCCTTTTCTAATGTGAAGAGAAGTGTCAAATTTAGCTTCCAGCTCTGACTGGCTTTTCTCCTTTCTGCACCCCCTGCCAAAGCTCCAAATGTGAAACTGAGGTGTGAAGTGGGAGTTTAACTGCTGCTCCCCCCTGAATAGCTTGTCAGACTGCCAGTCCGAGTTAACACTGCACCAGGCAGCACCAGTTGATGCAACAGTGTAACTCCTGAAGAACAATGCTAGTCTCTCCTTGTATGGAACTATTTCCAAACCATTGATCATTGTTGTTTCCCTTCTGTGAACTTTTTCCAGTTGCACTGTACAGGTATCTTGTTGAGAAGAGGTAACCAGAGCTGGACACAATATTCAAGGTATGGGTGCACCATGGATTTATATAGTGACACGATATTTTTCTATTCTGTTCCTAACATAGTGTTAACCTTTTTTGACTGCTGCTGCACCTTGAGCAGAAGATTTGGCCTCATGATCAAAAGTTCTCTGAAGATTGTTTTTGGGTGGTAACAGCTAATATATGTGTAGCTGGGATTATTTTTTTCCAGGGTGCATTACTTAGCACATAATATTCAAATTTCATCTGCCATTTTGTTGTCCATTCTCTCCCAGTTTTGAGAGATTTAACTTTAACTCTGTATAGTGTGAAAACTTTGCATTTTACTCTTCACTTGACATCTAACATTCCTCATCCCTACATGATGATCTCATAAAGCAGAATCTGCTCTAAAGTAGGTTTTGTAGGAAGTTAAGACATCAGTTCATAAGTTTTGATTTCACTCCTTAGCTGAAGTTCTCAAAACTCAGCTGCATATAGGAGAGTAGATGCAGGATAAAATTGTATAGGACAACGTCAACCTTTAAGTCAGAGTAGTTTGGACAATGTATGTGCAGCTTCTGTTAGCACACATAGCTAAAAGAATGAGAGGTGCTGCATTCAACAGAGAGGAGGAAGAGAAAGCTGGAGGGAAAAGTTTAAATAAATAATTTGAAGAAGCTGAATATTTCAGCCAAAAGCATACAGCTGTTTGGAATGATCCTTTTGCATAAACATTGAGGCCGCTGTCCTCCAGAAAGCAATTAACATGCTTTGGGGCATGTCATCCAAGTTGCTTTTTTTCCAGTTTCCATTATTTAAGCTTCCTAACATTTTTAGTGTAACATCTCAGAATTAAGAACTGAAAGAGAGGTTTCTTTCAGGGGAGGTGGGCTGTAGGTTCTTTTGCAGACCACCATGTTAAATTAGAATTCATATCTGTTATCTAAGTGATTAGGGGGAAAAAAAAAAAAACACACACACACACACTTTCAAGTCTCCATGAATCCTTTAGGGTATATCTGTGTTTCCCACCCCCCGCCTCCCCATTGTTGGATAAGAGTTCATCTCAAAATAAATATAAATGCAGCCCTAGCACACATGCTGCCTCTTTAGTCCACTGAAATTCAGCTGTAAGAGAAGTTCTGGGATGGTAAAAATTGAGGCCCCCCCCAATGGGCTGAAGAACACAGGTTCAGCATAACATTCAGGCTTTCAATACCTGATAGCAGAAGATTATGAAAAGAAAAGTGACTCCTGACAACACAAGAACAATGTTTCATCTCATTGCTCTGCCTTATACTACAATTTATGACACATGATTAATGAAGTCCATTGACAGAACAATTCAGTTGCAGGTTTATTTTGTGCAAAGATTTATTTGACCTGAGTAGCAGCTATAGCATATTCCTTAGCCTGCAAGCTATAATATTCTATAGGTGGTAGGAAGGAAAATACAAGGGGTGGGGAAACAGTTAGTCCATGTTCGTATTGCATAATAGGTTTCAAAAACAAAAGCCCCATGCTATACACACGACAGCAAGCATCTAAATCTAGCTGCAAACCTTTCATGCCACCAGCATGACAGCAGCAATTGGTCTAACTGGCCCATTATGCTATTGATTAATAGTAAGGTACCAAAAAGTTGCCCATAGGTATTTTCAGAGTGAATTTTGTAATCTGGCAGTGATAGTCTGCAGTTATGTAGCATCTCAACATGCTTTACAGGCACTAAGGGATCAATGCAGCAGGTCACTTGTGTACAAGGCTCCACAGTTTCAGGTCCTTGCATCTTCGATCAGTATGTACTGGAGAAGAGAATAAAGTTTCCATACATGGTACTGTTCAGAATCTTAGCAATAGAAACTTTAGGCACCCATCTGTGGAAAAATTGTCTAAAAGTTAGATACCTAAATCCAAGTTTACTTCAATGGGAATGACAGGAGCTCAGCACTTTTGACCATCAGGCCACTTATTCAGGTACCTTTTTAAACAAAAAAACCCCACACCTCCTCCCAAATGTCGGTGCCCAAGTTTGAAATTGTATTAAAAATTAAAGGCCAAGATAGTATTTTAAGGAGCTGCTCTGATAAAGGCTTTGCTTTTGTGAATAAGGGGATAGGACTAGATGACCTCCTGAGGTCCCTTCCAACCCTGATATTCTATGATTCAATCACACCCCACACAGAATAATTGTTCATTCACATTCATTGGAGGCAGTGCATCAGTGACACATCCTTACCTACAAAAATAAGGGGTGGAAGTGACTATAGCTAAAAGCATTACAAACAGCTGCCAATTGTCCTTGTTGCCCTTGGAGATTTGCTGGTACAAAGTCATATCCCAAATGGACCACCACATTTCTTACTTACTGGGGAGAGCCAGAAAGACATATTTAGCCTATGTCACCCCCAATGGATGCAACTTCTTCCTGCAGATCTTCATGGCACTCTTGTCCTCACACACCCTGCAGAGATTTGACTCTCCTGCCAACTTCAGTTTTTGAGGCATGTATTTAACAAAAACAAAACACCACCCTAACCCAACTAGCAGTCATTTTCTTCATACAAATGCCAGTTGCCATGTGGGTTGATGGAAAGTGCAATCTGTTGCTGTGCAGATATTGCCACGTTTTCATTGACAGGAATCCAGTAGCACTAAAAGGAAACATCTGGGGAGCAGGAGAGCTTAGTGTTTGTCCCAGAAAGTTTTAATTGCCGTTGCTCAGAGTGTAGATGGTCCATAAGCTGCATATTAGAACAGAGGATTCTAATAGCACCTCATAGGTTGGGCCAAAAATAAATGAGTAAAATAAAAACAAAACAATCTCTCTCCTCGTAAATAGCTGACCCTTGTTTTTCTGCTGCTGTGTATTCCAATCTAATGTCCATCTCCAAGCATAGTGTTGGGGCTTGTCTACACAGCATACCACGTAGGGTTGCCAGTTTTGTTTGGATGTAGTCCTGGAGGTTTCGTCACATGACATAATTAAAGATTAATCTTTAATTCCTGGAGACTCCAGGACAATCGTGGAGGGTTGGCAACCCTAATACTACTGCACACTCGAGAGGTCATTTCTAAAGCATGTTGATGTGCTTGACACCACCTGGCCAGTGTGGACCCTGCTGAAGCACACTAAAAATTCCCTAGTGCTCATTAACATAGTGCTATTTGCAGTAGGGAACTTTTAGTGCATGCCAGCAAGCTCTACATGTGCCAGGTAGCATCCAGCATGTTGGTGTGCTTTAGAAATCACACCTCTCTTGTGTGGATTTTTAGGTCATGGGGCCATCCCACTGAAGCAAAGAAGAGGGGCCTAATGTAGGTCAATAATGCTGTGAAAGGTGTTCTTTGTTTTGGCTTGGTGGAACAGGGATTGGTTTGATATTTCCATGCTTCTATGTCTGTGCATATACAGACATAAAGTACATATATAGCAGACTCACCTAGAGTAGCAGCTCCAGGGTCATGAACCCTTTTTGTGGTAGTTCATGGCAGAGTTAGGTTTTGTTAAAGCTGTTTTAACTTAGCTTCCTCTTCTACAGTCCCTAGTACAATAGGGCCCTAAACTTGGTTAGGGCCTCTAAACCCTTAATTTATTACAAAATAGACAGACAGCACCACTGTCTACAGAGACAGCACCTAGGTGGCGTGGGTTAGTTTAGGGCTTCATCCGGAAATCCTTCTGCATTAACATTAACAGGAGTTTTGCCTGCAGAAGGTTTCCAAACAGAGTAATCATTGCATTTTAGGCCCAGTGCCTCAAAGGTATTCAGGTACCGAATTCCCATTGAAGTCCATGAGAGTTAGATGCCTAAATACCTTTGAGGATCTGGACCTTAATAGACTATTTCACCAGTTCTTTTAACCGGATGCTGTTCTCACCCACTACCTGACACCACGAGAGTTTTCAGGGGCCCCCACAAGAGTTTTTAGTGGCACTTCGGCGGCGGGGGTCCTTCCGCTCCAGGTCTTCAGGGCACTTCGCCGAAGACATGGAGCGGAAGGACCCCCGCCGCCGAAGACCCCAGGTCCCCTGAATTCCCTGGTGGGAGCTCAGGAACTGGAACACCAAGAACTTTGACCCTGATTCAGCACGGTGCTTATTCACATGCCTAACTTTAAGCATACAGATAATCTCACTGAAAGTAATGGCATTCCATGCGCTTGAAGTTAAGCATGTGCTTCAACACCATCAGGGTTTCTGTGATCCTAACTTCAGAATAACCA